CCTTTACGGAGCCACGAGGACAGGACACTCAGAAGGGAGGCCCTTTCTGCTAGACACAGCAGCTGTCTGTCTGTTCCTCCAGTCTGTCCTTCCCCCACAGTGGCACTTTCTAGTACATGATGACCGTGGCCAGGGCAGAGAAGTAGACCGGACACACGGTGTCCTGCCGCTGATCTTGCTCCACTCCTTCTATGAAGTGCTGTGAAGGCGGGCAGGCTCGGCATTGGCTGTGAATGTTGACATCCTTACTTAGACTGATTTATGATGGCCCATGATGTCTCATTATCCTGGTTCCTAGGGAGGAGAAAGAAATAGGGTAAATGCAGACATTCAGGGTGGACGCCCTGGTGTCCTGCAGGAGGAAGTGTTCCAGTTGAGATTTATTGATGCATCTAGGAGCCCAGTTGGACTGCCTTTAACTAGCCTGATTTGGGCCAGCTGGCTTCCCCAGCAGCCAGTTTCCTCAGGTTTTCAGGAGGAATCACCTGTGGGAGTAAATCACTTGTACAGATGCCCAGGCCTCAGTTAGACGGCATCTCTGGAGAGGGCGTCCTGGCGTGGCGTAAGGCCCACTCCTCTCTGATTCTCATGTACCCATGGATGAGAGCCGTTGGAGAAAGGAGACCCTGGGGACATGTTGGCTGCTGAACGCAGGAGGGCCAGCGTCTGGTGATGCGAAAGTGACGGTCAGTGTGACCTTTCAAGCTGGCCATTCGTCTCCTCAGTGACCCCTAGCCCCTGTATTCTCACTGCTCCCAGATGGAGAGGCCTGCAGTCTCCTCTGCAGGGCCTCTATCAGCAGCCCCCACTGGGTGTCACTGTTGTGCCACGGAACAAAGCTGAGGCCAGCCCACGGCAGTCAACCAGAATGGGTAAGGAAGATTGGGGGCGGAATAATGTGATTATGAGTGAATGAGTAATGATGCAATTTGGGGCCATCATGGCATCTTGCCTCTGGGTAGCTGCAGGACTCCTTCCTTACCATCTTCTTTCATGTGAGGCATTCCCTGACCTGGCCTCTGAAGTTACGGTCCTCCCTCTCCGAGCTCCACAGCCCTCACCCACTGCGTGTGCGTAACCCACAGGCCATACAAGTCACCCTCTCAGAGCGTGCGATCCAGGGGTTTTCCGTGTGTTCACAGAGTTGGGCGGCCATCACCACCGTCAGTTTTGGAATAGTTTTATTACTTCCCAAAGACCCTCTGTACCCTTTAGCTGTAATCTCCAGCCTCCCTCCCCCAATAGTCCCTCCCCAGCACCAGACTGCCATTAATCTACTTCCTGTCTTCACAGATCTGCCCATTCTGGATACTGTGTGTAAGTGTAGACACACAGTCTGTGCTTTGTTTCTGTGGTAGAGTATGTGTGCTCACCGGAAAGTGATGGAGACAGAGAAAAGGAAAGTGAGGAATCCACCCCTCAGGGGGTTGGCCACACTGCAGTCCCTTCTCTCTTCTCCTCTTGGGATTTTGGGCATGCACACACATGCACCCGGTGTGATTTTCAAGCAGCTGGGTCTAGGACTTGAACCGCAGAGTCGGCTATGTGGGATCCAGCACCTTAAACACCATACCACCTGCAGGCCCAGTATGTGGCCTTTTGCCGTTAACTTCTTCCACTCAGCATCGTGTTCTCAAGGTTCGTCTATGTCGTAGCGTGAGTCAGCGCACCATTCTGGGGTGTCTTCCTAAGCACAGTGGGAAACCATGGTGGGGCTTTCATAGGGGAGTGGCATGGGTCTGGTTATAGCATAGCGAGCCCATTGGGAGAGACAGGGCTGTGGCAGCAGCACAGACAGAACTGAGCCCCGGGTGGTAGTCTGACTGGCAGTGAGGCCGAGGGCAGGAGGCAGGTAGGGCGGGTCAGGAGCTTCCAGAGGTGCTGAGAGGTCTGGAACTCGAGTCAGCAAACTTTTGTGTAGAGGGCTTGAGAGTAACTATTTTTAGCTTTGTGAGCTAAGGGATGTGTCCCAGCCATCCAGTTCTGCCACGTAGCAGCAAAGCAGCTATAGACAGTATGGAATCGAATGGCCTGCCTGTGCACCAATAAAACTTTATTTACAAAGGCAGGCTGTGGGCCACATCAGGCCCTTGGACTGTGATTTGCTGATCCTGTTCCAGAAGTGAAGACTAAGCAAGGCCGCTGTCCTCAGCTGCCTGGGAGTTCCGGCAGGTGGAGCAGGTAGGCTGGCTGAGAGGAAGTGAGCCCTGGGGCTGGGGGAAGGGGGACCAGGGAGGGTGCTTCTTTGGTTTTTAAATGTTAAATGCTGATGGAGCCATCAGAGAGGGAGAGGTCAAAGGCACTGGGGAAAGAAAAAAGGAGTTGTCCCAACTGTCCTGAGCAGGAAAGAGGCCTGAAACTGAACATTCTGGAGACGAGCAGGCGGGGTGGGGGTGGGGGGGCGCTGTCACAGCTCATGGATGCTCATGGGGGCGATAGGGCTGTGGATCCAAGACCGAGGAAAAGTTTGAAAAGTAAGAAGCCTAAAAACACTCCCTGCCTTCTAGAAGACTGGGATGGGCTCTGGAAAGAGACCTGGGGCAGCCTTTTGCGGCCCACTTGCTGGCTTGTAAAGTAACCATTTGCTCACCTAGACGCACAGTCCCTTAGGCACAATTTTTAAAATCCAGGAATTCCAACAAGCGAGGTTTTCCCAGGGTGGCTCCTATGTGGTAGCAAACCGTGCTTGGTTACACTGTGTGGCGGTCGTAGTCCTTATGCTTCCGCTTTCTCTGCGTTACCGTGTCTCCTGAGTTACATTTTATGGGGCTGTGTATTTATAGGGTTATGATTTTTAGGGTGTATCTATCCTATTTCACAAATCTAGAAAGGTACAAATGCTGGGACCAGCAGGTGGCGTGGTGGTTAAGGTGCTGGACACTCCCACATGGCTGACCATGGTTCAAGTCCTGGACCTGGTAGCTTGCTTTCTCACTTCCTCCCTCCCTATCTCTCTCTCCCTCTCTCTCTCCCTCCCTCTCTCTGTGTGTCTCTCTGTCAAATCAAAAATAATTAATGACGGGACCAGCAGTTGGCGTAATGGCTATGTCACTGGACTCCCTTGTAGTCGACCACGGTTCAAGTGTCAGACCCGGTGGCTTAAACCAATGCCGGACGTGTGTGTTCATGCCCAAGATCCCAAGAGGAGAATGGAGGAGAAGGGATTGCGGTGTGGCCAATCCCCCTGGGGGGTGATTTCTCACTTTCTGTCTCTCTGTCTCTGTCTTTCTGGCAAGCACATGCACCCTACAGCAAAAACCTCTCCAAAAAAAAAAAATCATGAATGAATAAATAAAATTAAGTAAATAATTCTTTTAAAAAAGAAGAAGGTACAAATCCTGAAAGGCCACGGCCTTGGTGGCTGAGGTAAGAGCATAAACACATGTTGTCTCACCCTCTTACCTGGTTTGAGCTGCCTGGGCCCTTCACATCTCTGCCTGGGCTGGCACTGCCTTTTCCATGCCAGAAAGGTTCAGGTGACATCAAGCTGATGGAAGAAGCTTCTGTGAGGGGCAGCCCTGGGCAGGTGTGCGTCCTGCTCTGGCCGTGGGGTGTGCCGCTGTGCATCCAGGCGTGGCTCTCAGTGGCTTGTGCTGCTGCTTCCAGGCACATTGGCCGGGGTCATTGATCTTGCTGTGGACTGGATGACGGACCTGAAGGAGGGGGTCTGCCTGTCTGCCTTCTGGTATAGCCATGAGCAGTGCTGCTGGACTTCCAATGAGACCACCTTTGAGGACAGGGACAGGTGTCCCCTGTGGCAGAAATGGTCGGAGCTGCTGGTGAATCAGTCGGAGGTGAGTGTCTGGGCAGGGGCTGGGCCGGGAGCCCCCACCGTGCTGTATGCATTTGGCAGCACCGCTGGGCACATGTGCAGGAAGCCTGTGACTCCCCTTCAGGGCTCTGTTCTGCTGCCAGCCCGCAGCTTAGTGCTAGTGGATGACTTTGCCTTTTGGTAGCCTTACTGCCACCCCTCGAACTTCACTTGGAGAACTTCTCCACTGTTCCATTCAGTAAATGTACACATGTGTGCACGTGCGCGCGCGCGCACACACACACACACACACACACACGAGGAGTCAGAAAAGGTCATGGAAAATGGAATTAAAGTAGGAGTGTATTTCGGTGCAAAAAGTGTTTAAATTCATGCTTAGTTTTTCATAATGTGCATTTCCTATGAGCGTTTTGAAGTGTGCATGTTTATAAAAGCCTCGGTTGGCTTTACATTTCTTACCAAAGATAGTTTATCAATCGTGTTGAAGAAATAGGTTTCATTTTTATACCTTTTAAATGAAGAGAAAGAATAAATGATCTTTTTTCCAAATAGCTACTTTGGTGAGACGTAATTCCCACTTCATATGGTTGACCCGTTTGAAGTGTATAATTCAGTGGCTTTTAGTGTTTCCATGGCGTTGAGCAGCCCTCACTACAGTCCAGTTTAGTACATTTTCATCAGCACCCGCGAACACTGTGCCCCTAACCTGCCAGTACCTGCAGCCGCTCATCCACTTTCTTTCTCTGTGGACTTCCGCACGTCTCATAGGACCCGAGTCGCACACCGTGTGGGCTTTGTGTCTGGTCCCTCTGCCCAGCAGTGTTTCCAGGGCCCTTCAGGTTGTAGCACATATTGGGCCTTTGCTCCGTTTATGGCCAAAGACCGTCCCGTTGCATGGATAGACCACAGTGCCTTCGTCCATTGCCCTGGTGACGCAGGCGGCTGGCTGCCACTTCTTTACTATTATGGGGGACGTTGCCACACACGTTCATGTACGAGATTCTGTATGCACACCTGTTTCACTTTTCTTGGGTAGATACCTAGGAGTGGAAGTACTGAGGCAGGGAGGAACTCTCTGTTTAACCATCCGGGGAACTGGCAGACTGTTTTCCCAAGTGGCTGTGCCATCTTAGGTTGCTGCCAGCAGTGCATGTGAGTTCTGATGGCTCCTTGTCTTTGCCAGCTTTTGTTACTGTTTGTCCTGTTTATTTCAGCTGTCCCAGTGGGTGTGAAGGGGGGCACGTTGTCATTGCACTTACCATCTTCCATCACATGTCCTGAGCCACAGAGGCTGTTTCTGGGCCTTCTATGAAGACGATGTCTAGGCACAGGAATCGTGGCCCTGACCCATAGACCCAGAGCTTGCTTCTGGACACTTAGAGCTTTCAGATTTGTATACAAATCTTAGCTCAGGAAAGGTTAACTTCTAAGCGAGTTCATTGGTTACCTGGCAGATCAGAAAGCCAGGTGAGAAGACGGGGTGAGCCACAAGCAGTGCTGGTGGACTGAAGCTAGCCCAGTTCCGCTCACACTGCTCTCGCAAGGTCTCGTAACACGTTTCTGCGTCTTGTCCTCCCCTCCCCGGTTTCTTTGACCTGATTGACTTGCTGTGGCTGGAGCCTTTTGGTATGCACTTCGCCATTTTGCTATGGAACCTCTTTCTGGTGGAATTGGGAATTAATTCCGTCCAGTCTCAGAAGCAGACAGGGACCTTGAAGTCTCTCGTGTTCTCAGTGCTCTCCATTACTTCCAAAAAGAAATCCTGTGTTTGGGCTGATGAGAGCGGGCAGGCGGAGCTGGCTGGGCGCCATTTTTTATTTCTTCTCTCCTACTCGCAATATGCATTTTGGGGAAATATGGCTATACATCTTTTCAGCCCGTTTTAAGATTTATACTTTGGTTCAAAGAATTACTGTTAGTAAGAGTTGGAAGTTATTTTTAGTCGCCAAAGAAGTACATACTTAAGTGGGTGAAAGGTATTCTTCAGTCCAATTTCTCACCACATAGGGTGTGAATATATGTGCTTGTAAAGGCCAGAGCAGTCTCCTGGAATGTGCTTTTGCATTTAATAGGCACACATGTGGCCGTGTCCCTGGCCTGACTCGTAGGTGACCTCTCTTTCCTTCCCCCCACACTTGAGAAATCCAGATGGTGGCAAGAAGCTGAGGCCTAGAGAAAGGGTCCTCCACTCACAACGCGCTGGACTGTGCTTGGTTCAGAAAACGTTCTCTGCGTGTCAGGTAGTATAGACGTGGCTCACTGAACTGTTCTGAAGGTGATGGTCCAGTTTCCCCCAGCAGTGCCTCTCAGTGCACATCCACTTCTCCTGGCTGGCTCGTGAAAATGTCAGTGGCTGCGGCCACCCCAGAGGTCGGTGTCGGCAGCTCCAGGGATGGGCCTGACAGTCTGCATTCGGAATAAGCTCCCAGGGTATGCTGCTGCCGCGGGCCCACACCCGCGCTTTGAGTGTCGGAGATCTAAGGTCCAGTTCCTCGCCAGCAGTGTGATCGCCTGTCCTGCTCCAGGTGAGGCTCCAGGGAAAGGCACGAGAGGCCAGCGCGCTACAGACAGCACAGAACGCAGCTTCTGGGGGCTCAAAGATGGGAGTGTCTGTGTCATACCTTCCACTAACTAGCCGAGTGGCCACTCAAAGCAGGCATCCTTCACGGTCGCCATTGCTCCTGCGAGCTCACCTGGTAGAAGGTGTGTAGACGGCTCCTGGGGCAACACCTGGGGCTGTGGAGATGTGCTGGGAGTAGCAACAGCAGCGGCTAAGAAAACTGGCCCTAGCTGCCTGTTCTTTCGGGATGGGGACTGGGCCGTCTCGCTCACGACCGCCGGCGGGGCAGGCTTCGTAGCTCAGGTCCGTCACAGCTCACGTTCTCTTTCTTGGCTTGTGTCCTGTTTAGGGCGCCAGTGCCTACATCCTCAACTACCTGATGTACATCCTGTGGGCGTTGCTGTTTGCGTTCCTGGCCGTGTCCCTGGTGCGCGTGTTTGCGCCGTACGCCTGCGGCTCTGGTATCCCAGAGGTGAGTCGCGGCCCAGTTTCTTTCGTCCCAATAATAAGGACGGCACATACTTCCCTGGCACTGTTGTCCCAAGCACAGTTCTGAGCATTTTACGTCTATTAACCCATTTAGCCCTCACAACAAGACTACGAGGCAGGCGACGTTACTGTTCTTCCTTTGACAGTTGAGGAAACTAAAGGACAGAGAGGTTAAGTAACTTGTCTGAGGTCACGAAGGTCCCACTTTAGGATTTCTACTCCATTACCTCTCAGACTGTCACACCCTCGTCTTTGCAGCCAGGCGGAACTCTGCAAGCCTGTTTAGTCAGAGTTTATTAACCACACACACAGATGTCGTGCTGTACGCCTCCTCAGTGTCTCTATGATGTGATGTGGATGAACACAGCGGTGGGGCACATTGCAGAGTGGTTTACTGGTGAGTAACCTCCCCGGACACACCGCTTTCTGCTGACGAGCTAATAATAGCCGTCTGCCAAAAACCCAATTCCACGTTGGGCGTACACGCTGTGCTGTATGCCGTGGACCGAGAGCGCCTTCGAATAGCTTTCAGCACTGTCGAATGGCTGCAGCATGACGGATGACGGCCTCATTGCTCAAGGCAATGGCTGAAGCTGGCAGGATGACGGTAACAGAGCTGAAGTGCGAAAAGTCCAGGTGGGACATTGTAACCAGGAGTCCTCCTGTTATCACTGTCATCAGTGCACTCAGGCTCTGTCAAGCTGCTGCCTCGGCAGTGCCATAGGTGTGGAGCGTGTGAGCTACAAGAGCCACCAGCCTGCAGCGGTGCCTTCCAGCCCTGCCGCTGCTCTAGGCAGCTCACCAAAAAGGCTGGAGTCATCTCAAGATGGTCAGACAAAAAATTCCACGTGATCTTGTTTCAGGAAACGTAGGAAAAGAAGTCTTAGCCTGGCAGTTAAGGGAACTAGATTCCACATGGCTGACCACTGTTTGAATCCAGGCCCCGACAGCTTGAAAAACATGCTAGGCATGTGTGCATGCATCCCCCTAAATCCCGACGGGGGGAGAGGTGGAGGAGGAGCTGTGGTATGACTGCCACACTGGGGATGCTTTCTCTCTCTCTCTCTCTGTCTCTCTTTGGCAAGTGCATGCACCCTCTGGCAACTGGAAAAAAATGAAAGGTCTTAATAAGTCATGCTGAATATTTTGTAAAAGTTTTGCTAGAGGGTGCATGTACTTGCAAGAGAGAGAGAGAGAGAGACAGAGAGAGAAGAAAACTCCCCCCATGTGGGGCATGATCTCACTGTCTTTTTCTTCCATTTATCCTCTCAGGATTTGGGGCTCGCACATGTGCCTGGTGTGTTGCTCAAGCCACAGGGTCTGGGAATCGAACCACGTGGTTGGCCATGTGGGATCCAGCCACCTTAATGCCCAGAGCACAGACTAGCCCCCGTGCTGAATTTGAGATGGTTTATATTAGTATACTGCCTTAGGAGCCCCAGACCAGCCAGATTAACACCCTACTCCTCAGTGCACCCAGTTCTCCTGTCATACAACACGTGCCTGCCCAGATCACCAGGTCATGCGGCACCGCACAGCACAAACCCCAGGGCTCGTGGGCAGACAGGCTGGGGCCACGACATGCAGGAGCCCCATCAGTGATGCATCTCTTAACAACAGCAGTGCAGCACTGCACGTGGCCAACAGCCAAGAAGTGTAGAATGCTGCAGTAAATGTGTCACTGCTTGGAAGACACTGCGGTTTGCTCATGGAGTGGGCGTCAGCAGGGCCACGGCATGTGCGTTACTGGGAAGGAGATTATCTGAGATCATAGGAGAGGTGTGATTCTAGGTGTGACCTCCTCGCACATGTGTGAACCAGAGGTGTTCAAGGCATGCCCGCGTGTGTGTACCTTATGTTTTTCCCCACGGCTCCGTTCAGCTGGGTGCAGTTTTCTGACTTCCCCTGGTGTTTCTCCCAGAGGAAATTGTGGATCAGCAGACATGACGTTCGCGTTATGCTCAGATTCCTTTCGAATGTACCAATAGCACTGGAACACATTTGTATTTTCTGAAATGAGTCTTCTGTCAGAGCTGGCTGCATTTTATTTACCATCTGAAGACTAAGGCCCCAGGGACAATAAAAAGGACAGGTCATTGTCTGCATCCCGCTGCCTAACGGGAGGCTTTTCTGACTCAAGCCTCTCCAGGGTAAGGAGGTGGCCAGTGGGGAGTTAGTGGAAAAGATGAGGTAGCAATAAAAGGCACAAGGGGCCAGATGGTGGCACAGGGGTGAAATGTGAACCTCTGTGAGGCCAACCTGCACGGGAAGGTTCCCGGTTTGTATCCAGAGACCTCCCGAGTGTGCTGGGCATGTGTGTGCCCATGATCTGGGGCTGGTTGAGGCTGGGAGTGGATCATGGTGTCAGAACCCTGTTGGTGTACTGTCTGTCCCAACTCTTTTTAGAAAAAATTTCTTTCTTTCTTTCTTCCGTGAGTGAGATGGACGGAGAGAGTGCACACCGCCAGCAGGGTCTCGATGCCATGACCCACCCCAGCCTCAACCAGCAGATCGTAGGCATGCACATGCCCAGCACACTGGGGAGGTCTCTGGACCTGAGCCAGGACCCTTCCCATGTGGGATCGCCTTGCAGAGCATGGTGTCTTATTACCGTCTGGCTCCCATCTGTCTCACTCTCACACTATGGAAGAAATTTTTTAAAAATTAGAAAGGAAAAGGGCACGACGAGATCCACGGTCCCTTTCCAAGAACCAGAGAGGGGTGGCCCAGCTGGTGCTCTTGTAGACAGACAGGGAGCTTGAAGGAGCTCCATCTTGGAGGGGCTGGCTAGACTTTGTCTTCATCCACAGTGAGCGTCTTTATCGGTCACAGCTAAACTCCAAGAAGTAGATAGCGAGTGGAGCATTCAGCCTCCTAAGTGACAGAAGTACAGGGAGGTACACGACCTAGATGGAACTCGATGTGACGCCAAGTGGAAAAGTAAGTTGCAGACAGAAATATCAAGTATGGCTCTATTCATATAAGGTTCATGAACCCCCAGAAGGAAAGTACATGTGTGATAAAGCGGTAAAGAAAGGCAAAGATGTGGTCAGGGGGGTGGGGAAGGAGGGAGGGTTTGCTGCGGAGGCAAGCCAAGGGCTTTCAAAGGCATCTGCTCTGCTCTGCTGCGAACTTGGTAGCGGGGCATGTGCTTGTTTCATCGCTGTTCTTCTAACCGCATGTAAGTGTGCAATAGCTTCACTTCTCCATCCCTAAAGGAGTTAACGGCAATCTTGTAAAATATCAGGGGGCTAGCCCTATAGGATTAGTGGTTAAGGGAGCTGGATCCCACATGGCCCACTGTGGTTCAAATCCCAGCCTCAGTAGCTTGAAAAACGTGCTGAGCATTGAGCGTGTGTGCGCCTCAAATCCTGACAGGATGGAGACATGTAGGAGAAGGGATTATGGCGTGTTGTGCCCTCTGGGGGTGCTGCACCCCTCTTTCAGGTGAGCAGACATGCCCTCTGGCAGTTAAAAACCAATCAGGAAGGTTTGTTGTGGAGGTGTTAGAATTCGGTTCGGTTAATTTGGTTACTTAGAATGCAGTTCCTTTGGAGACATTTAGAAAACGTAAATGTAAAGACGTTTTTCCCCTGTATAATAAATGCTATGCATCAGGTCTATAAGGCACATGTCAAAATGGACCTCATAGTCCCTTGGGCTTGGGAATTTTAAGTGACCTGGTGTGGGCTTCCCTCTTTCTCCTATCAGCTAGATAGGAAGCCATGCCCTCTCAGAACCTCTAGGAACGTAGCCTGACTTGACGTTCTTGTCTACAAAATGAGAACACTCTCACAAATGCCAGTGTACCCAGAACGTTCTGGTTTCACAGTTACCGCCACCGAGACACAAAGCCGCTGCCATACGTGCTGTTCAAGCCCTGCCTGCATCAGTCTCTGTGAATGCAAATTAAGGCAAGTGATTGGATTTTGGCATCTACTGGGAATGAATTTGCCTTCTTTAGTCCCTAATTTGATCATGACAATTTTATAAAATCATTTTAGAGAATTACAAATTACCTATTACATTGTCCAATTCACCACATGTCATGGCTGGCAAAGGCTCAGGTAATTTAGATGCTTGTAATTTTCTAAATGGTATTACGCTTTTAAACTGTACCCTGGGGTCCGAATCCACATTAACTAACTGACAAAAAATTATAGATAATTTTATTCGAAGCAACACAAAGGGGCAGGATTCTGGCAGGCATAATAAAACATCCCTTAAATAAAGGGGGCTGAGCTCCCCAGGGCACAGGCTCAAGTAGGCCAACTGCCACTAGTGAAGGAATGGTTTAACCACCGCTAGTTTGTCTGCCACTAGTTAAAGGCCAGTTCCAGAAATACCATCCGACCGGAGAGCCAGGAGACCCTCACGTTCATTCTGTAGGAAGGCGTCTTTGGGAACATGTGTGCACATTTGATCCCACTCTTGCTCACTCTTTCTCTTCCTGTCCTTGAATCCAGAAACAGATCTTGGGGCCAGCAGGTGGCATAGTGGTTAAAGCACTGAACTCCCATATGGATAACCATAGTTCAAGTCCCAGACTCAAGCAGCTTGAGAATCATACAAGGTGTGCGTGTGTGTGTGCACTCAAAATCCTGAGAGGAGAAGGGATCGTGGTGTAGCCATCCTCCTTGAGGCGTGATTTCTCACTTTCCCTCTCTGTTTTTCTCTGTAGTGAGTGCACATGCCCTATGGCAAACAAAACAAAACAAAACAAAACAACTTAAATAAAAAAGAAAGTAAAACAAATCTTTATCAACAGTGCTGAGACAGTCCCTTAGCCTGGATGGACTTCAGACCAGTCATATCAAATGTCTGGCAGCAGAGCCAGACTTCTGTGTTTTTTGAGTCCCCAGGGGTTCCGAGGAGCACCAAGGTTGAGGACTTTAATAGCTGTTTGAGAAATTGATTACTTGGCAGAGCAGCGCCCACAAGGAGGCATTTGAAGTAACTAAATGACACGGAGGAGAGATAACATCTTATTATGTATTATACAAAGGGAAAACAGCAATCGACCACGAAGCCCATCAACTGACTCACTCGGTGCCCAATTAATCTATGATTACAGGCTTGTAGGTTGCTAGCTCAGCAGTAACCATCCACTTCGTTTTAGCCAACTGTGGGAGAGGGTGGAGGTAAAGTTATTTAGCCATCGGTGATGGGTCTGTAGCCAAAAGAACATCGTTTGGGGAGAGACCTTCCATACATGTAGGTGGTCATTGAGGTTGGCACCCAGTGGAATTCTTTTTTTAAAAAAAAAAGTTTTGGAGAGGTTTTTGCTATAGGGTACATGTGCTCGCCAGAAAGAGAGAGACAGAGAGAAAGAAAGTGAGAGATCAGCCCCTGGGGGGATGGCCACGCTGCGATCCCTTCTCCTCCATTCTCCTCTCGGGATCTCGGGCACGGATGCACACATGCCCGGCGTGAGTTTAAACCACCAGGTCCGGGACTTGAACTGCAGTCAACTACATGGGAGTCCAGTGACATAGCCATTACACCAACTGCTGGTTCCAGCAACCAGTGGAATTCTAAAAGCGTTTTAGGCAAAGATGCAAACGCGCCTTTAGGAAGAAAGATGTTATTTGTCATTTACAAAATGTGGCAAGTCTGAAAATGGAGCAAGACAGCTCTTCCTGTAGTCAGAGTCCTTTTCAATTTAAGAGAGTGGGATTCCATAGAAAAGAAGGGGTCGTCATGGAGTCAGACATCTTTATATCTCACATAGCTTCTTCAGTGTCTAACCTTAGAAGAATATTTTCAAACATACAGAAAACTTGAAAGAATTGGACAGTTAAAAACCCATTTATCCTTTGCCTCCAGCTGGGGTTGCAAACTCTTTCAGTATTTTAGGCCTGTGGGCCAAGAGGCCTGAAAGAACAACTATTCTCACTGAAAGGCTAGTAGTCTTTTTTATGTATTGCTTTTACTTTTTAAAAGGTTAAATCCAGGACATTCCAGTGACCTAGGAGTTAAGGGAGCTGGATCCCACATGGCTGACCACGGTTCAAGATGCAGTCCTGGTGGCTTGAAAAACACACCACGTGTGTGTGTGTGTGTGTGTGTTTTATGTGGCACAGGAACTTCATAAGGAAATGAGGACCCAAAGACACAGAATTGAACATTTATATACTGAACTGGGCAAGGAGAAGTAAACTGAGATGGTGACAAGGCAGAGGGGCGTGGGATAGGGTTGTTAACTGGGTGGGGAAGTGACTGGGAAGATAAGGGTTAATCCAACAAGGTAAGTTTGTACAGATTTCACTCTCGCCCTAACCTTCCCACCTCTGATGATACTGCTAATAATTCCTAATTACAATGTAGGAAGGGTATCTTTCACATGGGAATTTCATCTCCCACTTGTAAGAAACAGAGGTCAGAGGACAGGGTGTTATTCAAATGCCTTTAACTCAAAATAGTCAATGTGCCAGAGTAGCATATTCGAGGTGGTGGGTTCTTAACTCCTTCGGCCTGTTTGTTGTGTCATGCAAATAGCCAGCTCTCTGTCTACCTTGGACATCTTTCAAGAGTCAAAAATTAGCATTTGAAAGCAATAGATGTGTCTCTTCTCAGCACTACAAAGCATAATGTAAATAGAATCCATACCTTAAATATCAATGAAACCTGAGGCCAGCAGGTGGTGTGGTGGTTAAGGTGTTGAACTCCCACATGGCCAAACACAGTTCAAGTCCCGGACCTGGTGGCTTACTTCCTCACTTTCCCTCTCTGTCTCTCTCTGGTCAAATTAAATAATAGTAACAAATAAAATGAATAGTTCTTTAAAAGAAATGAATGAGACCTGATAATAACATATTTAGTTCTCTTTGTGATCTTTTAGTGTACTTGAATCCTTAAGATTTATTGTGTTGATTTTTTTAATGTCAGAGGGATATGCATTTGAGAGAGAGAACAAGAGAGAGAGAGAGAGAGAGATATGCCCCTCCCCCCCAATGGGGTATGATCACGCCACAATCCTTTTTCTTCCATTTCTTCATCCAACTAGGATTCTGGGCATGCACACACATGTACCTGGTGTGCTTTTCAACCTGTCGGAGCCAGGATTCAGACTGTGGTCAGCTATGTGGAATCTGGCTCCCTTAACTACTGGGCTGTGGGGCCAGCTATACATTGAATTTTTAAATGCTTCTGTTAATATAATATCAAATTACATGTCAATATAAACTTCTATTAATATAAAATTATGGACAAATCAAGAACTAGAATAGCCTGTCTTTCTTTAGATTTAGCAAATCTAAACTTTAAGAATACATTTAAGAGAAATTACTGCTGTTTTCCTAGCATGAGTTGGATCAGCCACTACCCCTTGTTTTCTGTCTCTGTTTCAGATTAAGACCATTTTGAGTGGCTTCATCATCAGGGGCTACTTGGGGAAGTGGACCCTGCTGATCAAGACAGTCACCCTGGTGCTGGTGGTGTCCTCCGGCCTGAGCCTTGGGAAAGAAGGGCCGCTGGTGCATGTGGCGTGTTGCTGTGGCAACTTCTTCAGCAGCCTTTTCTCCAAGTACAGCAAGAACGAGGGCAAGAGGCGTGAGGTGAGCCAGCTCAGCATCCATCTGCAGTGGAGCTTCTTCTCAGGGGCCTGGCTCCCTCTTACCCACACACACTGGGTTTCCTGGAAGGCCTCAGAGCTTACCTCTAACCGTTTGCCTTGTAGGTGCTTTCAGCTGCAGCTGCTGCTGGGGTCTCTGTGGCCTTTGGTGCTCCGATCGGAGGTGTGCTTTTCAGTCTAGAGGAGGTGAGAGCGGGCAGCTGGGGGAATTAGTGGTTTCGAGTGGCAAGGAATATGTGGGTGGTTGGCACAGCAGTAAGCCTTCCTCTCCTCCCCTTTGAGGATTAGGTTCATTGAATATTGAATAAGATTCCTGCAGTTAATTAAGGAGCCACAATTTAGGCGGCTAAGCGTGTGTTTTCATGTGTGAACGTTGCCAATATATATGTATTTCTGAAGACGTGCAGTACACTTTCTCTTTCTCATAACCAACTTAAACATTTTTTTTTCTTTTTTTTTTTTTTAATAACCCAAGTGGAAAATTCTAGGAATTGGCAAATGTTTTCTGAAAAGGACCAGATAGTGAATATAGTAGGGTGTTGTGGGCCACACAGTTTCTGCTGTGCTGCTCAACTCCGTCATTACGTGAAAGCCATGTGGACAACACAGACATGAACAGGCGCGGCTGTGTGCCCAACAGACCTTCCTTATGGGCCCCGGAATTTGAATTTGTTTTTATTGCCAGAGGCGGCATGCACTCACCAGAGAGAGCCAGAGAGGAGGAGAAAACACCCCCTACTGCAAGGGGGCATGGCATGCCACAGTGCCTTCTGCTCAATTTCTCCATCCTATCAGAATTTGGGGCACACATGCACGCATACCTGGTGTGTTTTCTAGCAGCTGGGGCCGGGATTCCAACTGTGGTTGGCCATGTGGGATCTGGCTTCCCAAACCACTAGGCTACAGGGCCAGCCCATGAAATTTGAATGTTATATATTGGGTCATTGGAAAAGTCATGACACATTTTTGCAAAGAAAAATATAGAAAAAACATGTCATGATTTTTTCCAACAACCCAATAGTATTCACGTGTTACAAAGTAAGAGAGCACTTCAAAAAGTTAGTAGAAAATGGAATTAAAGTGTAAGTTTATTTTGGTACAAAAATTTTTTGGAAATCCATGCATTTTTTTTTCCAGTATGCCTTTTTTCTGTGAACTTTTGAAGACCTCTTGTATTGCTCTTTTTTTAAAAAAATGTTCTTTAAATATTTTCTTTAAATAAAAATTGGTTTCTTTGCAACCATTTTAAAATGTGAAAACTGAGGCCCGTTGGTGGTGTGGTGGTTGAGGTGCCGAACTCCCACCTGGCTGACTATGGTTTGAATCCCGGATGGGACCTGGCAGCTTGCTTTCTCACTCTCCCCTTGTCTCTCTGTCTCTCTTTGGTGAGTGTACATGCTGTATAGCAATTTAAAAAACAATAATGAAATTTGAAAAATACATGAAAACCATTTTTAACTTATGTGCTGTACAAATACATTCTCTGGACCAGAGTTGACCTGTAGGTCAGAGTTTTCTGATCCTTCGTCTATTCTGTCGTCTGTAGAATCAAATCCAGAGGTTTTGCTTCCAGGGGGATGTGTATGTCCTGATTAGCATTGTGATGACGTATTTTTATTTCTTTTAAAAACGTAGCTCAAACCTGCCTTGAATAGTATCCATTCCTCTTAGTTATAGTCGGGTTCCACTGATGTCTTTTTTGGTGCATTTTGGTCATAACCAACCTGAGGATGAGGGAGCCAGAGCTACAGGGGACTCTGGCTGAAAGGGCCGGGCCCTGGGCTGCTCTTTTTCTAGCCGGGGTCTGATTTTCTGCTTGTTGATCCTAGGTCAGTTACTACTTTCCCTTGAAGACCTTATGGAGGTCATTCTTCGCGGCCTTGGTGGCAGCCTTCACGCTGCGATCCATCAATCCCTTTGGGAACAGCCGCTTGGTTCTCTTTTACGTGGAATACCACACACCCTGGTACATGGCCGAACTCTTCCCCTTCATCCTGCTTGGGGTCTTCGGGGGCCTGTGGGGAACCCTCTTCATCCGCTGCAACATCGCCTGGTGCAGAAGGCGCAAAACCACCAGGCTGGGGAAGTACCCGGTGCTGGAGGTCATCGTGGTGACTGCCATCACTGCCATCGTCGCCTACCCCAACCCCTACACGCGCCAGAGTACCAGCGAGCTCATTTCCGAGCTGTTCAATGACTGTGGGGCCCTGGAGTCCTCCCAGCTCTGTGACTACATCAACGACCCCAACATGACCCGGCCCGTGGATGACATTCCAGACCGGCCAGCTGGAGTCGGTGTTTACACGGCCATGTGGCAGCTGGCCCTGGCACTGATCTTCAAGATCGTCATCACCATCTTTACCTTTGGCATGAAGGTGAGTGGAGGGAAGCAAGGATGGGCACTGTGTGTGTGGAGACGATGTCCTGGACACAGCGCCTTGCTCTCCAAACTGAAATCATGATGCCAAAGAAAGGGGAGCTGACCTGTGTGAATGTTCTCATAGGCTGGGCACCTGACATTCCTTTAATCAACAGGAACCAATCCTGTTAACAAACAACAAGCCTGTGCGATAGAGATGGTAATCTCATTTTACAAGTAAGGAGGCTAAGGCTCAGAGTCCTTAAGTGGCTCGACCAGTCCCACAGCTTGTGGGAGACAGGGCCAGGGATCAAACACACTTCATCGCATTCCCACACCACGTAGTAACAAGCACTGGTTTACCAGCTGGCTGGTTGACGCCAGCTGATGGGAAGAGCCTAGGTTTGGCCCAGTCTGGATCAGTATATGCATTGAGCATTAACTATATCCTAGGCATACAGACCCTCAGACTTAACACTGCCCCGGAAGAGCACATGCGTGGCTGGAGGTCTGGGAGAGATGGACACAGACGCAGAGCTCTGGGATCGTGGGGCAATCACCTGTGTGATGGCAGTGCCGGGAGCCTGGCCTCGCCTGGGTGGGGCTGGGCTGTGATGGGCTCATTGTACGTGAGTGGTATGTGCTTTCCTTATTCTTGTTCCTGAAGTCAGAGAAAAGGTGGCTTCTCTCTTTTTTAAAACACTGTGTTAAAATCGGTTCAGACATGCTTTGAAAACCTTTCCTAAGATCTGTCATGGAGCCTGGTGTTAAGTTGTTATTGTTTGTTTGATTAGAAATCAAGGTAACGTGTATGATATCTTCAGCTGGACTGATGTGATGCGTATTCATATTGCGTACATTCATTGTACACGCTGTAGTGATGTACAGCGATTAAATGTATAAAGGAAGTTAAAATAATTTAAAAAAAAAGAAATCAAGGTAAAATTCACAGAAGATAAAATCGGTCATTTGAGTGTACAGTTCTGTGGCAGTCAGTATATTGACAGTATTGCACAGCCGCCACCTCTGTCTGCTTTCAGAATCTTCCTTCCCCCAAAAAGAGACTCCGTGCCCATCAGCAGCCACTCCCGCCCCCACCCTTGGCAAGCACTGATCTGGACATTTCATATAAGTGGAATCATAGTGTGTGGCCTTTAGGGCTGGCTTTTTTCACATAGCACAGTCTTTCCAAGGTGGTGGCAGGATGTCATTCTTTTTTTCTT